CTGGGCAGGCAGGGCAGAGAGAGGATGTGAGTGCTGCTTCTGCCCTGGTGGGGTGGTAGTCTGATTACAATATAAGGGAGGAGAAGAGGTTTGCTCTTCATTTTGCTCTGGCTGCTCCTTGAAGTGTTGCCCCAGTGCCATGCCACCCTGCCTTGGAGCCAGCTGATTACGTACTGAAACCTCCAGAAACAGTGAGCTAAATAAACCTTTTCTTCCTTTATTTTGGGTGTTGAGTATTTTGCCCCAGCCATGAGAGAAAAGTAACCAGCCATTCCAGGGCAAAAGTGCCATCATGGGTATCGAGTCTCATGACAGCCTGTTTTTGTAGCTCAGCGACAGCAGTGGCTTTGTGGTCTCCTGTTCCGCAGCACTGTTTTCTGGGTGCCACTGTCATAGCCAGGACCAGTGGACCCTGGGGCTATGTACCTACACTGCTTACCTGCAAGAGAGTGGTCATTTTCAACCCATGGACACACAATCAGACCTCGGCAGCTGGCCAGCTCACATACAGATCCTGCTCCTAAAGCACAGCCGGGGTCAGGCAAGAGAGCTCGAGCTCGATTTCCAGGAAGAGCAGTCAGGGAACTGTTCTCCGTGGCCACCCTATGAATGGCTCAGATTTGCTTTTTTTTTTTCTTTTTTCCTTTTTATCGGTCCCAGGGATCTAACTCACGACTGCCTGCTTGCAAGACAGGCGCTTATGCTGCTGAGCTAAATCCCCAGCCCCTAGATTTGCTTTTGTTTATTTGCTCCTTCATTTAAGCAGTGAGTACACGGCATGACTGACGCCTGCTCCAGTCCTTGTACACTGCTGGGTGAACACAGGTGAAGCTGCAGCCCCTGTGTGCTGATTTTAGGACCTCTGTGCTGGGGCCACACACATGGACAAGGTGGGGTACAGCAGACAGTGCCTTATCTGCAGGAGCCTCGGGCAAGACCCTTGTGCAGTGTTCCCGGCAGACCTGGAAGGATCAGTCGCATGATGCATGTCCACAGGACAGGTACAGGCTGGCATTTCAGAGCGAAAGAAATCAGGGCACGGAGCTGTAGTGTGAGTAGGAGGCGGGAAACGAAAGTCTCTGTTACAAAGGTCAGCGGCACTGGTCTCCCTGCCCAGGACCGACGAGACTGCAGCCCTGCTGTAGATAAAGCGCCCAGTGTATGCAGCATAATGCACCAGGAGGACCTCGTCAGCCACTCTGAGGGGCATCCCCGGGGCTGGCACGGGGTCTCCCCCAGACTCAGCGCTCAGTGAATAGTGAAGGAAACAGACGAGTCTTTCAGCAGCCTGGTTTCATGTATTGAGCGATGCTAACATTTACACAAGCCAGAGCGATATCATGTGATGTCCTTGAATGGAACATGAAAGTTCTTACTGCGCCCCCAGCATGTACAATGAGGTGACTGCCTGAGTTCAGAGATCACACAATGCCGTCTACGCGTCGATGAGGAGGCAGATGCGCCACGGCCCCTGCAGTGTGCTGAGCGCCAGAGACTTGAGCATTGTTCTGCCTTTCGATGGCTTTGGGTTTTGTGTCTGTTTTGCAGAGACAGAGCTTTCCCTTGAATTTCTGGAAGAAATGTATAGTTTTTGCCTGAGAGCTAGCAGTGCGTGCTGTGACAGTTTTAGCCGCTGAATGGACTCTGGGCTGAATCCCAAGACTCAGTAGATGACAGACTGCGGCTAGCTAAGCGTACACCGAGACACCCCTCGCGGGACCAGCTGGCGTCTGGCATTACTGGAAGCTGCCTGTCCAACAGAGGCTCAGAAGTGTGGATTCCACGGCTTCTGAGAGAAATGCCTGGGAGAAGGAGGAGCTAGGGGCAGGAGGTGCAGGGCCTGGTCTAATGAAAACATTTTGAAGCAAATGTGTGGCATAAATATGCATTAGATGAATACCTGGAGTAGAGACAGCGGCCACTCATGGTGACTGCAATGGGACTGTCCCCAGCCCCCAAAGGACAATTTACATGCTTTATTTGGAAATCCTACTGTGCTTAAGTTTTTCATTCTTCAAGCAGAGTTATAATTTAAAAGGTAAATGCCCTCTGACCCAGTAATTTCATCCAAGGCATAAAACAAATGTTTATAAAAAGACATTCTTTGCAGATTACTCAAAGCGAAAAAATTGTACTAAGCACCGAAAGTTCCGGTAAAGAGAAATAAATCATGGCTTACTATTATCCTGGTAATTGTAAATTAAAAATCTCCCTGGATTTAACATGTACAGAGATTCATAATGTATTCCTCAATGGCATGAAGCAAAAAATAGCATAAAATCACATTTGCTGTAAGATTGTCAATACTCCCAGGTACAAACACACATACATGTGCATGTGTGCATACAGGCACACAGCTTGATTCCAAGTGTGGTCAGGACCGGCCGTGTACTCTTGCTTCTGGGTGTTACCTCCATGGGAATGGAAGCCAGAACAGTGAGCTGTATCTGCAATATCATATTCATCACAAGAGCCCAGCCATGGCCACTAGAGTGTCCATCCATGTAGGCATGGATAGGGACCATGTGATACACACACACCACGCTATACCATTCAACCCTAAAATACTGCCTGGTCTCACTTGGAAATCTAACGGAGCTTATCTCCTAGAGGCAGAGGACGGAGGTTGATCACAGGGCTGGGGCAGATGCGTAGCTACGGGAGTGCTGGTCACAAGATACAAAGCAGCAGTGAAGCCAAAGGAGTGAGTTCCAGGATCTGCCCCAGTGGCAATCAGTTACTAGCAGTGTAAAATACCTTCTATTGCATTGCTACTACTATAATCTACTAATGATTGCTGAGCAAAGCAATTTTAAATGTTTGCATTCCAAAAACATAGGCAAGCTGATGGACGGGCTATTCACTTCTTCCTCCTCTTCATCTTCTACCCTCACTAACTTTTCTGACCCTCATGTCTCCATCGTACAAAGACCCTCAGGATGACCTGGGGTCCACCTGTATAAGGATAATCTCAAGCAGAGCCCCTTTTGCATGTGAGGTGACACTGGCAGGTGTGGGGATTCAGATGTGCCGTCTTTGGGGTCCGTTATGCTGCCTACGATGCCCCTCTCCGTGACTGCTGCTCAGCTGGGGTGTATACAAGAATGTTTGTGGCTGGTGTAGTAGATGACCTGGGCACCTCTGCTTGAGTGCAGAACAATTGCTGCAACATCAGTTAAATGGAGTCTTATTTCCATGCACTGATGGGACAGAGTGGGCTATGGCATTTCTTTCTTGCTTCAACTGGCTCTAAGCAATGCAAATAAGGCCAGCTGAAGCACTGATGTGTAATCTTTGGGGCCAGTCTGACAGTCTCCAGTTTCCTCGTACAGTGCTCTCTGTAAAAGATAGGATGAACACAGCGGGATGGCAGAGACACTCAGCTCCAGGAATGTCAACTGGATAGGAAGTAATGAAGCTATGAGTCCCCAGGGCACAAAAGTTCACATTTCAGAAATGGAAGCAACAGCCTCCTAAAACCATTCAAATGCTACCCCAGCTGAGTTATGCAGACTGGTCCTTCTGTGTGTTAAGTCTCCCTGCATTTTGCAAAGATGTATTTCTCTCCACATGTGGAGCCAGCTCGGGTTATACACATAGTCCCAGCATCCTCCCTGCCACTCATCCCCGAGCCACCCCCTTCTTCACAAGATAATAAGTTCTGGGAGAGGTTTAGGATCAGGGCCTTTGTCCGCACATCCTCACTTGGATGAGACTTGGGTTCCTTTGGCTGCCCTTAACTTTCAATATGTCTTGGTGTTTTTACTCTTACCCATGGGTTGCACGGAGGTGGTAGATTGGAATTAACTTGCCAGGATTCCAGTAACCTCTCAGCAGGATTACAACTATAACTTTCTGGATTGTGAGAGATTAGAAAAGGGATTACAATGCTTGGATTACAATATACATTATTTGGTTTGCCATAGCTGGCTTCATCGCATTAACAAAGGTCTGGTGACCATCAAAGGCAAATGACAGGTGACCACCTTTGGAAAAATGTGTCACTGGCAGCAAAGTCTCTCTTGGTGAATGTGACAAGCAGGGTAGTCAATTCTGCCTGAAGACTGAATTTCTTGAAAAGTTTTGGGAATTTGATTTTGTTAGTAGCCAACAACAGCAACAGAAAGAAAGAGGGAAAAGCCCAGAGAAAATCAACTAATTCCTACCTGAGTATCTTTTCCTTTATGAGATCTCATTGCTCTGAGGTCAGAGTCAGTGATGCAGGGATTTTGTGTAACGTTTCCTGTGAACAGATCCCGGGAGGCAGGAGTGAGGGTGCCATCTGCCAGTGGTCCTGCTAGAAGCCCGCAAAGGTTACGGAGCTATAAGCAGTGGCTCATGCAGCAGGTGGCACCTACGTGAGGAGCACTGCACTGAGTATGGGGTGGTGACAGCACTGGCCCAGGCCCTCCTTCAGGGTCCTGCATGGCATCAGGTGGGACACACAGAAGCAGGACAAATCCATTCGCCTCTTGCCATGATGAGCACTGTCAGACCCGTGAGCTCCGGAGAGAGCCGGCAGGAAGGCAGCAGAGAAGGGAACCATGCTGATTGTCCAGGGACAATGTCACCTGCCATTTTTGCTAAGGCCTAGTACAATACACATCAGTGGGAAGCTGGATGGGGCACCCCGCCACCCCATCTGCAAGACTTACAGAGTCCAGGCTGGTCTGCACCAGCCCTGATGCCCCAGTATATGGGGTCATGTGGCTCTGGTTGTGTAGTGACCGCCTCACAACTGCAACCATCCTCAGGATCCTCTGCCTTCTTCTCATTAGACCCTGAGCAGACAGCTCTGTGTTTGAGGTTAAACCTCATCATGGCCAAAGCAATGGAGGAGATGGCACACACATCCCCTGCCCTGGCAGAGGCAGGGTTCCCTGCAGCATCTTCTCTCAAAAAGTGTAAGTTTTACTATTATACTTGTGTGGCCTGAGCCTAAAGCTTGCAGTGGGGACCTGATGCTTTGAAAGGAAAGACAAGCCCCAGGCGTGTACATACCCATCAGTGTTTGGACAGTTCATGAGTTGGGGTCTCAGTGAGTTTGAATGAGGAAAGAAATCAATCCGAGGCCCTGAAAAGTGATACAGAAATACTTCTGAAGAATTCACATCAGTGGTCAGGCACAGTGTCACAGGTCTGTCATCCCTGCACTCCAGGGGGCTGAGACAGGAGGACTGCAAATTTGAGGTGAGCCTGGGCAACTTAGCAGCTCAGGAGAGGAGATTCTGTCTCAGAATTTAAAAACATGAAAATGCCGGGGATGCAGCACAGTGAGGAGGCCTGGGCTTCATTCCCCAGGCCACATTTTCTTCAGGGTTTCTACCTCCCCTCTCTGCTCCATCATGCTGGGCCATTCTCCACCCACCCCCAGCATCCCCGCTGCCATGGCAACCATCATAAATGCAAGGCTGCTGTGATTTGAATCCCCACTCCCACCTCAGTTCATGTCCTGGAAACTCAGTTCCCAGGCACCAGGCTTGGGAAAAGGGGACCTGAGACAGCCAGTGAGTCCAGGGGCTCCTCCCTAGGGATCGGATCCAACTCGGTCATCCTCACAGCAGGGTGGCTGTGAAGCACATCTGTTCCCTCTTGCTGTCTCTTGTGTCTTTTTGCCAGGTGATGCCAGACCCCAGAGGATGGGACAGGAAGAAGACCCTCTCCAAGGGGACCCTTTCCTCTCACACTGTCCAGCATCCAGGGCCATAAGCCAAATCAGCTCCTATCCTTTGTCAGTCACATATTCTGCCGTGTTCCCTGAGCATTGCAGAAAAGCCATGGAGGTCATCATACAAGGTTTGTTAGTAAAATCTCCCATGTTACCAGGTGAAAGCAGCTCCGAGCATTGGCTCCGCTGTGCTGGCCCCGTTGAGGGCTTTGCCCGTGTGCAGTTCACGCTTCCTTCAGTCTTTGACGCTCCCAGTGAAACAGCCTCACTGTAAACACTAAGCTTGAACATTCTTCACCCTGGAGCCTGCTTGAAGCACAAAGGAATTTTGTAAGAAGCCCAGCCGCCCAGCCTCGGTTAACTGACTGTGGAGGAAATGTGGGCTCCTGCAGCTTTGGAAAACTGTCCCACGTGAGTCAGGTGCCCGGGGAGGACCCCGCACTCCTGTGGCAGAAGCTGGGGAGGCCTCAGTCCAATCCTCAGGGAGCTCCTTGCCTCAGTAAAAAGTTCATTACCAGAGCATCACGAGGGAGAAGGAAGCCTCATAGGAAAGACAAGAAAGGTAAAAATAACTTGCATTCTGCTGCTGAGTTTCTGCACTAAACGTATTTATTTTAGGGACAGGCTTGCTGGAGTTGCCAGGAAGATGCCCGGGAAGTTTTATGAACCAGCATCATGCCCAATCCAGGAGGACAAGAGGTTAAGGTGAACTATGTGACAAAGAGCAGATTTGTTCCTTGGGTCCCTGACTTGGGGCGCAGTGGCTGATTGCAAAGCATGTAAAACAGAAAGTCTGCTACTTCCTCTGGATGAAACTGAGCTACACGTGGAGGCTGACACTGTCAGAGGGTACTTTGTCAGTATTCTCAACCACAGCACAACACCCAGCACCCACAGATGAAGAGAAGAGAAGTTTAATTGGGCTCACAGTTCCCGAGGATTCATTTCGTGGTCCGATGGCTCCAAGTCAGAAAGAGCATGGTGGAGAGGTTAGATGGAGCAAATCTCTTGGTGGGCAAGAAGCAGAACAGGGGAACAGTACCAGAGAGCAAGGAACCAGACAGTACCATGGCCATGCCTCCATGGCCCACCCGGAAGTATGCTCTGCCAATCTTCCAGATGGATCCCAAAGCCAATCAGATCGACAGCCATCCCAAGTGCCACTGAGGGCTTCATGATACCCAACAGGTGAGCACCCAAGGCCTTCTGGGAATGTCTGATGGGGACAGATGTCAGATGCAGGAGTCCAGGATGGGACTCTGACTTTAACAGCCTCTGCTTTGCCCTCCTGCCAGGCCATTTGCTTCTTTTCTCAGCTCATGACCTTTTTGACCTCTCCACTAGGGTCCCAAATCCTAAGTATCAAAGGGACACTCAGTCTTTCCATCTCTGGGAAACATCACAACCTTCAAAAGCTCAGTGATCAAACTGGAGCATGGACCTGTCCTGGGATTTTCCAACCCCTGCCCCATCTGTAAGAGGTATCAATTCCACCTTGGAGGCAGATCTCCACTTACCTCCTTTTTAAAAGGTCCTGGGGATACAGCTTGGTGTAAGGCCCTGAATTCAGTGTCATTACTGAAGGGGAAAAAGATACCTGCATGGACCCCACCTGGTTCCTGCAGCCCATCCCTCTGGAGTCATCTTTTGCAGCTCTCCTCTCCTTATCTCTTGGAAACGGGGTCTCTGTTGCCCTGGGCGTCTTTGCCCCTGGTCCTCCTACACTTGGAATGCTCCCAGCACACGCTGCAGCCCCACCACTGACACACCCTGCTTTCCAATTCCTGTGGATCTGTAAGGACCCCTTTGACGTCTGTCCCTCCACAATGCCCTTCCTTCTTGCCCACCCTCAGCATGTGAGGGCTCCCCAAGATGTGGCTTCAGGGGACAAGGTCTGCTGGTGCCATTGCCCACTGCTTTCTGTCTCCTGGGGGATCTCAGTAAACAGGGTGCATGAATGATTCCTTCACTGCTGACACCGCAGCAAGGCTTTTGTTAGATGCCTACAGATTCCTACTGGACAGGCTCTGTCTTCTTTATTCCAAGCCACTCACAGGCTTGTCCCGGATTATTTTCCCAGCTTCTGGTCACCTACATCCACTCCACGCCCCTGTCAGCAGCCCCGCAGCAGCCCTGCCAGCTCTCTGGGCCTCTTCAGTTTCCTTTTCCCGGCTCAGACTGTCACTGTCCTTGACGTTCGGCTCCCGGGATGCCCTTCTGGGTGTTCTCCTCTTTGCTTCTAGGAGACCACGGCTTTTGCTCGTGACCCTTGACAGCTGACATTTCTTTCTGCTCTCTGGAGACACAAGGGCTTTCTCATCTTCCTTTTCTCCTAGACTGTCACAAATCTCTTAACCGTCTTTATGTTCCTCTAAGTCTGAGGCTCAGAGGAGTTGCTGAAGATGTGTTTGTCAAATAAATGACAGCACAGTTGTTTAAAATGTGACAAGATCCTACAGGAACAAAATTTTCCCTCTTGGCTCTTTTGAAGTGTTTTATACAAGGGGTGGCTAAAATTTATGGTGAATGTTTAAATATAAAAAGTTTATTACAGGGACTGGGGATTTAGCGCAGTGGCATAAGCACCTGCCTTGCAAGCAGGCAGTCATGAGTTCAATCCCTGGTACTGATAAAAATGAAAAAGACCAAAAAAAAAAAAGTTTATTACAGCAAAAGTCATGTTGCTATTGACCCCCCTCAAAATATTTCCACTCACCTCAAATATATTTATCCCATCCTGGTGGCCACTTTCTGAAGTCTCTCTGCACATTCTTATTCATGCCTTTATCAAGTATGATTAAAAATAAGGCTGCCGCTGGGTGCCATCCAGAAAAGCAAGCTCCTAAAGACATGGCAGTGTGTCCCCAGCTCCTTTGTTTACCAGGTCAGCCACTGTGTGACTCTGAGCTCCTCCCCAAAGTCATTATGATAATAATGATGAAAGGTCAGCATTCTGAATCAGTTCAGGACATTAAGGCAGTCACGAAGACACAATGAAAGACACTCACGAAGGAGGACTCCCAGAACTACTTCAGAAGTGGCAATAAAGAGGGAGAAGTACCATGAGAGCAAGGGGGAGAACTTTGAGGAGGATTCATGGCAATCTATCTTTCAGTGTAGTATATTTTTAAAATCTAAGCATTCACCTCAGCTCTTGAGTATGCCTCGTATTTCTCAGAATAAAGTGTCTGGAGAGGAATTCACTTTAAGCATCGCTGTGGACTGATTCCTCCAGGGGCTTTCTATTAATCATTTAGTGCTGGAGACATCGTGAGGACAGCTACAGAAAAAAGGAATGCAAGCAGACGGCAGAATCCCGCCCCGGGCACACGCTGGCCTTTGTGTAGCCCGATCTTTGTGTCATTTTTATAAATGGAAAATTGGCAGGCCTTGGGCATGGAGAAGATAGACCGTTTTCATCTATTTTACATCATACTTTAAGACCCAAATATAAATATTGCAGCCCTTCATCTCAGCATGATTTGGTTATGGAAACATAATTGGAATTGTTTAAGAGACACAGGCGGCTTCTATTTCAGTCCTGGCACAGGAAATTCAGCCTTTGTCCATTTTCACAGTTTGATTTATGTGAGGTTAAAAATTCATAACTCAGGAGCTAACCTCAAGCAAATATTTTTTTTTTGCATGAACTAATTCAAACATTGTCTCAACTGGAGCTTCCTGTTCTGAAGGCTCACAGAGGAGCTGAGTGGCTGCACACCTCTTTGATGGCCTGATAATCTCCCTGACTTTGTTTCGTGAGGGTCCCCAGAGACTCAGCCCAGGTCACAGAGAGGGGACAAGGGGCCAACTACATTTTATGCACGTCCTGCATCAGGGGCCTTATGCTGTCTTATTTCCTCCAGAGAGTCCCATGATGCAGCCCCAAGCACCGTCACCATGTCTCAGAAGCCCACTCAGAGACTGGTTTGAGATCTGCCCAGTCTTGTCTACTGGTGCCCGACTGATAGTACATCGGCTCCCCACTCTACGTGCAGCTCCTAGCTGTGGAAGAGAAGATTTGGGTGTCATCATCCACCACAGGCCACTCTGCCCCCCAGGAGCAGGTCTCAGGTTTGCATTTCCTGTCAACTCAGAGACTCCCAGTGGAGCTAGGGCGTCTTCATCTTCCTTCTGGCAACCACACACACGGGCCCTGTGTTTCATGACCTGTGAGCCCGTTAGAGCAATCTGTACTCAAAGGGAAGCTCACGCATCAGGCACGGGCCAGACCACAAGCCACACCCATTCCCCGTGGACACTACTGTGGGTGCTATGCTCTCATTCACCCCCGAGAAACTCGGATCCTGTGCATGGCCTGGCTGCAGCCGCTGCTGTTTGGCCAGAAGGAGGATCAGAGCCTGAAGGCTGCCGATTCCGTGTGCTTTGCAGGAAGTCCCAGTGTGACTGCTGCAGGACCCTGGGCTGGGAGGGTCTTGAGTCTGTGCATTCAGGTCTGGTGACCAAGCAGAAGCTGCAGCTGGTGAAAACTCACTCCCAGCTCTGGACCACAGGCGCCACGGGATACAGAGCCCTGGGTTTGTGCCAAAAGTAGCACCAGACAGACAGGGAGCTTGGGTGCAGGAAGCTGAGGCTGGAGAGACTCTGGATGGGTCTTCTTGTCACCTGGGCTCACAGGAGGATGTCTCAGCCTCGGGATTTGATGGCCCCATCCAGGCTCCGCTTCTTCTGGGACCAAAGAGGACGCAGATGTCATGACTGACAAATGGGCTGTCTTGCCCCTCCCACCAAAATACCTGGGAAATAAAAACAGTCATCTTTAGACCTCGCATAGCGGGGAGGTGGTCTATCTTAGCTCGTGGGATTGGCTAATGAACAGGGAAACAACTCCAACCCACTTTCTGTCCGAGGTACAAAAGGCCAAGTGGTCCCTTGCAGGGCTCCTAGCTGGGTCCAGACTGGTCAGGGAACCGAGCAGACACTGGTGCAGGGCGGTCGTCCTGGAAGCAGGGGCACTGTGCTCACTGCCACCCGATAGTCCCTCCTGCTCTACCAGCTGTCAGGGAGGCTGGGGAGAGGATTAACAGGGCTCAACTGAGGTCTGCTTGGCCACCTGTCATGTGGACATGGGCAGTTCAGGGGAGATTGTGACTGCTGGAAAGGAAGATTTAACCCACTAGGTGCAAGGAATTCACTGTCTACCAGGCCAATTTAGTGACAGCTGCATGAGATTTTTTTTAGAAATCTCTCTCTCTCTCTCTCAGTAAATGAGAAAGAGTGCAGGTTGTGTAAAATGAAATGAGAATAAGCAGACACAGCCTCCCACTGCCACTGTACAGGCCAGGAAGTGACAATCCCACATTCACTGCACACCTTGGAGAGGTCCAATACCGAAGCCTGGGATGTGAAACCCAGGGCGGTTCCTTTGACCCAAAGTCACTGTGAGTTGGAAAACTCCCATGACATTCCCTCTCCACAATAATTGAGTAAAGGGGACATTGTCGCCAACAGGAAATCCACTGGCAGCTACAAATGTTTACAAAAAGGAGCACTTTATTTATACCTTTAGTTAAGGAGCGTGTTATACACGGTTATAGGATGCCAGGCACTGTGCCAATGAGAAGAGTTCTAAACACAAAAGAGAACTGTGATCACAGCTCAGGGGACAGAAAGGAATGCATGGGCAGACACCTGTGAGTTGCACAGTTCATGGTAGCTCATCACATGAGATACGGGACATGGTAGGATGGTAGCACTCGGTCATAGTGGCATGGCGGGTAGAGGCTGTGGCATGAGGGTATAGTGGCATGATGACATGGTGACACAGGTCATGGTGCTGTGATAGAGTGGTGGCAGTGACATGGACTCATGGTGGCTGATAGTAGGATGTGGTGTCATGGACACATGGGATCTTGTGGCATAGTGAGGAACATCTGACCCAGTTTTGGGCAGTTGTGGCCAAGGGTGAGCCTCCTATCCACAGTGAACACAGCCTGTGACCTGAGAGATGAGGGGCACTTGGGCAGCAGAGCCGGGAGAGAGGATCTTATGTCCAGTGGGGTTCATGGTCCAGAGCATGGGGCAGGAGAGGGCGAGGGTTCTGCAGACCCAGCCTGGTTCTTGGTGTCTGGAATGCAGGCCAGTGAGTGACACCAGTGAGGCAGGAGGACGATGCAGCCTGGTGGCCCATGAGGAAGGTGGTCAGGAGCCTGACCACTGCCCTTCCATCAGCTCGAGACCTGTTAGGGGCTCTGCAGAGCCCTCTCTCAATGAGCTGTTGAATGAGTTATGCAAAAACAGCCCCCAAAGAGCAGAACTCCAAAGGGGTTTTTAATTTGAATTGCTAAATAAGAGACATGAGAGCATTTAGTGTGGGTCTCTAACACAGAATTAAAGTCTGGGAAATAATCAAGTGTATAGGAAAAGAAAAAGTGTAAAGAATTTTAAATCTTGGGTAAAAAGGAGCCCCAAATTGCTTTATTCTTGTTCTAAATAATTCAAGAACTCACATTCAAATAGGTATTTGAAACACTGAAAATATTCATCGGCCTAATTTTTAAAAATACCACGGGGCACACAACCCAAAGTGGGAATGGACGGAATGGCAAGCATAGAACAGAAAACGTCACAGAGCCACGCGAGAGGCCCGGCGTCAAACACTTCGGTTATGGTAAGGCACGCTGAGAGTTTCCATTCTACTGCATCAAAGCAAAGTCTTGTGATAGGAAGCAAAAATAGACACAAAGCAGAGCTCTTTTATAATGTGAAATAAAAGACTGGGTGACGATAGCAAAGCAAGCCCAGGAGGAAAAAGGAAGGATGATTATTTCAATACGTAGAAAATGCAGACGAAGAATCAAGGAGCCCAAGGATGGTAATCAGAGTTGTCTTCTGTTGTGAAAGGCACTGAGGCTGGAGAGAGTACTCATAACCTAGTATCAGCATTTGTACATTTACAGTTTACAGATCAAGGAGGAGTGAGCAACACTGCGATTACTGGAGAACGCATCAGCACACTGCCTAGGGATTCAGGCAATGAAAACAGAATAGGGGTAGATGTATCAGTGGCTCATGGCTGCTGTAACAACCCGCTGTGGACTTGGTGCTTTGAAACAGCACATGTTTGCCTCTCCCAGTTCAGAGAGGCCGGAGTCTGATTCATTTTCCTGGGCCAGAGTCAAGGTGTGGGCAGGGCCACGTTCCCCAAGACTCCACCTAGAGCCTTCCTGGCCCTCCCTTTTCTGGGGCTGCACCCTCACCATCCTTACAGCTGGCAGCACAGTGTCCTCCCTCGGGGTCACCTTGTCTTCACCGCTGTGTCAAATCCCTCTCCTCCTCCTCTGCCGCAGTCACTTGTGACTATGCTCAGGGCACACCTAGGTAATTCAGGATAAACTCCCTGCTGCAAGACGCTTAACTTAATCGCCCCAACAAAGCCCCTCTGGCTGCATAAAGTAATACTGCCAAGTCCCAAAGATCTTCGGGGCCACTCTCCAGCCTTTTGCAATGAAAATAGTCAAGGCTTCGTAATGTCCAAGCTCACTGGATGGGACCACTTGTTTTCAAGTGCCCTGGAAGCTTTGTGAACTCCCGAATCAGAACTTATCATATGCTGCCATGACTTTCTAAAATTTGAAATTTATAACAAACATTTAGAAAGGATAACTCCATTAATTGAAAATTACAGCTAAAATAAAATTATCTCCAAATATCCAGGAAGACTTCAAATGTTATTTCAGATTATTTAGAAAATCCTACTGAAGGAAAACGCTTCTTAACTGAAGCTGCCATAGAGACCTGGAAGAGTTAATTTTTAACTCTTTGATTATGGAGTAAAAAGAAAAATATGTTATCTTTGATGCAGAGAATTAAAAGTATACAAAACAGGTAGAACCAGAAACTAATAAATCAGATAAAGGATTGATAAGTGAAACACAAAGTAATTCATTTGCAAAGACAGTAAAACAACTCTGCCAAGTACAATGAAGCAACAGAAAAAGATAGAAAAATAAACTTAAAAATAAAAAACAAAGACTTCCATTGCCATGATTCTTTTTTTTTTTTTTTTTTTTTTTTTTTTTTTTTGTCTTTTTCCTCTTTATCGGTACCGGGGATCGAACTCACGACTGACTGCTTGCAAGGCAGGCGCTTATGCCGCTGAGCTAAATCCCCAGCCCCCCATTGCTATGATTCTATTACAGTATTATTTTGGAGGCTCTGGAAGGTGGACAGAAATGCGGAACACACATTTGATACGCAGAGATAAGTGTTATTAGTAATAGCTGGTAGGATTTCATACAGACACTGCAGGCTGCCCATCAAAATAATATTGTGATTACAACGGGATTTGGTGAGCGATTATTTTTATATTTTCTATCATTGCCATGATGAGAACCATAACCGCCATCATCAGCACTCTGCCTACCATCACCACTGGTACCATTAACTGTCCCCTACTGCTGTCACCATTTATTCTGCCATCATCACCACGACTGTCACAATTGTCATCACAACTGCCACCACCACGTTGCCACCATCAACACCACCATCACCACAACCAATACCATCACCAGCACTACCATTGCCACCAGACACTAGGACCTTTGGACACAGTGACAGTAAAAGGAAACTAAGCCTGATATTCTATACACACAGCCTGCTACACAGGAAATGCTTTACAGGGATGAGCAGTCTCAGCTAAATTGGGGCTTTGGCTGAAGGGAGCCAGAATTGTGAAAGATGTCAGACAAGGAGAGGGAAGGATGAAGTCTGCCGCTCACAGGACAAAGGGAGCAGCAGGTTTTCATTGATTAGCTGGGGTGGGGTACAGTTTGTAGTGAGCCCTTCCCAGCTCTCTTCTCCATCTTGGAAGTTTACATGTGCAATCCCATGGAAAAGTTATTGGAATTCCAATAAGTTAATTCCAATCCACCACTTCCAGTCCAACCCATGGTGAGAATAAAGACACTAAAGATATACGTATAGTTATGGGGAGTCCAAGGGATCCTAAGTCCAGCCAGAACAAAGGTTCATTGGAACTCAACCCATGGCCCAGCCTGGATTTTATTAATTCATGAAGAAGAGTGTGGCTCAAAGATGAGTGACTGTGAGAAACACAGGAAGTATGTGAGCGCTGTGAGCTGGGCTGGGTAGGAAGCCTGACAGCACCTCTGCAATATGCAGGGAGAAGGCTGTGCAGAAAGAGTAACCTGCATAATGCAGCTGAGGTAGCATCTAATGCTTTGGAGCCTGTGCTTCAGCTCTGATGTGCAAACCTTTCTGCCCTGGGAAGTCATAGCCTCTCATCTCGAGGCTCTAACCCAGTTGACAGCTCTGGAGCTGTGGCTCTTCATCCTGCCATGTTTTGGGGAGACACAGGGCAGGGGAAACAGTGTCAGTCACCTGGCCCTATTTACATTATTTAGAGCCAATTGGAGGGATAAAGAAATGGCCTAGCCAGCTATGGCTATCAGTATGTGGAGATAGGGCCAAGTTTAGCCAAAATGGAAATGATTGCTCTTTGTTCCAGGAGAGCTGTCCAGGGGATCCTCCACAACAGTTGGGTAATTCTCACTGGCCAGGTGCTCCAGAAGATGCATCTTCTTGTGATGGACTTGGATAACCAGCTGGTCACTGCCAGCTCATCCTCGGGACTGTTGAATTTTTGCGCATCTGGTACCATTATCCTGCAGAAAACATCCTGGTTTTGTATTTGGTGGGTGACAGGTGATCAGCTGCACTCAGGAGCTGCTGACTTATCATATAGCTGGTGTCACCATCGTACATAGATGTCCTGGCCTTCAGTGCTTAAGCTGCTCATAAAGCATGAGG